GTCCGAGTGTTCCAGGGTAGTGTGCGTGGTCAAGATGGAGTTGTAGGGCTCCACGACAGCAGTGGACACCTGGGGGGCTGGATAAATGGCAAATTCCAGCTTGGACTTCTTGCCGTAGTCCACCGAGAGCCGCTCCATGAGCAGAGACGCGAACCCAGAGCCGGTGCCGCCTCCAAAGCTGTGGAAGATGAGGAAGCCCTGCAGGCCTGTGCACAGATCTGCCTGCGAGAAACCAGACAACATGAGCCAAGGCTTGCGGAGGCCACAATGCCAACCCCAACAGCCCAGGCTCACTTCTCTCTGCCTCTGCAAGGTGATGTGGACTCAAACATCCATAACTAACACATGTTACATGTGCAAGCAAAGAAAGCCAGACAGTGAAGATCTGTGGGAGCTCTGCAACAGGCACGACACAGCAAGACCTCTGCAGACTCAGTCGGGACTCCTCACTCAGTTGTCTAAGATCTGCCAGAGAGTCTGACCCCTTCATAGCCTAAGGCAGTGATGGCAAACCTTTCAGAGCTTTCAATGATAAACAGCCAGCTGGGCTGCGGCACGAGTGCCATAGGTTCGCTACCACTGGCCTAAGCCCTACCCTCCCATCTGGAGCCATATCCACATGATGCCATCTCAGTGATCTTACCAGTTTGCGGATTCGGTCCAGGACCAGGTCCACGATCTCCTTGCCAATGGTGTAATGGCCTCTGGCGTAATTATTGGCTGCATCTTCCTTCCCTGTGATCAGCTGCTCTGGGTGGAAGAGCTGCCTGTAGGTCCCCGTGCGCACTTCATCTACAAAGAGACCATGTGAGCTGTGAGCCTTTCGGGGCTGCTTTACTCACCACAGGGGACACACTCAAAGGTGGTGCTACTCTACAAATGCACATGCTATTCATGCCTTGACTATTACAAACTGTCTCTGTGAGCTGGGCGTGGTGCTGCGGGCCTGTAATAGCAGCACTTGGGAGTCTGAGGCAGGAGGACCATGGAGAATTTGAGGTCAGCCTTGGCTACATACTGAGTTCAAGGCCAGCTTGAACAAGTGAGACCCTGTCCTCCCCCCAAAAAATCTCTGCAGAGCACAAATGCAATTGATGGCTCCAAGAACTCACAGTGTTAATGCCAGCAGGATCATTTTGCACTGATGGAAAGAAAGCGCTCGCATACCCACACAGGTGATTCTACAGGCGGCTAGCTCTTTCTTACCTACAGCTACGTCAAAGAAAATAATTTAGAAGTCATGAGCCACACTCCTGTAATCCAAGTACTCTGGGCAGCTGAGGCAGCAGGATCACAAGACAAACCGAGCCTGAGTGATGTACCAAGTTAGCGAGACCCTGTCTCAAAAATTTTAAAAAGGGCTGGGGATGTAGCTCAGTGAAAGGCCCTGGGTTCAATCACCAGTGTTGTAACCAAACATAAAACCTAAAACTCCCTTGCAAACACCAGGTGAGTGTGACTGTGTGATTTTGCTGGGACAGGCTCATCACAACACCCAAATGGCTTGGGTCTTGCAGGCTATAAGGTGACATCTGTATCTCTTGAAGGATACTAAAAACTCTCTTCCCTCTCCCCTCTCCCTCTTTCCTCCCTGCCTCCCTCCTCCTCTTCCTCTTCCTCTCCCACCTTCTCCTTGTCACTCTGTTTCTCTTGGGTAGTTCTGAACACACGGTCTTCACACTGAACTACATCACCAGTAGGTTTTATTTGTTTGTTTGTTTTGAGACAGGATTTCACTAAGTTGTTGGAAACCCCAAGCTGGGGTCAAATTTCACATCCTCCTGCCTCATCTTTTCCACCTCTTATAATTACTTTGGGGTTCTAATCATGAGGAACCAAATAAATATTCTTAGTTTCATGTCTAAGAGCAGGTCCAGACTCGTGCACCAGCATGAGAACCTCCACAGCATTTAAGGAGGGAACCAAGGCCTGTGCTCACTGCACACAGGGTCTATACAGAAACCACCTGACCTGGGCAGGGCCAGCCAGAAGGACTCTCTCCATAGCCCATCCTCCTGCTGGCAAAGCAGCTTTTCCCTGTCGGTCAAGGTTTCCTGAGCCCCAGAGTCAAGAACCTTCAGTCACAAACCTTTCAGCTTCTCACCCCACAGTGTCATGAGCGCAGGCTTATAAATCCTGTGCTTCTTGCTGAGGGATTCAAGGAGACCACCACGTGGGGCTTTTGCAAGGTTCTCCCACCCTCCCTGGAAAGCCTCCATCCAGGGCCCGAGCACCTACCTACCACCGTGGGCTCCAGGTCCACAAACACTGCTCTGGGCACGTGCTTGCCAGCCCCAGTCTCGCTGAAGAACGTGTTGAAGGAGTCGTCCCCACCACCAGTGGTTTTGTCACTAGGCATCTGACCATCAGGCTGGATTCCATGTTCAAGGCAGTACAATTCCCAGCAGGCATTGCCGATCTGGACACCTGCCTGCCCCACATGGATAGAGATACACTCCCTCTGGGAACCAGAACATCAATGTGAAACCCATTCGTCCTCAAAGCCATACAAACTATACAAAATGCAAATGAGACCTGTTGTCATAAATCAGCACTTACAAAATATTTGGTTTCCTGAGCCTCCAGTGATCATTTTATATCAGAACACCTGCCTATCCAACATGAGTACAGACATACTTGAACTAGGAACAGAAATACAGTCCTTCCTATTCCCAGCAATTCACATATTTAAAAATTACCTCTGCCTATATTCCTAGCACTCTGAGAGGCTGAGGGAGGAGGACTGCGATTTGTAGTCCAGCCTGGGAAACTTAGCGAGACCCAGTCGCAAAAGATAAAAGAAAGAAAGGGGCTTTGTATAAAGCCCTGGGTTCAATAACCAGTACAGAAAAAATATAAATCAAGCATAGTTGTTTCTTCCCAAGGACCAGATTTAATAATATTGTGTCCTAAGCAATGGCTTAGAAAATCAGACAAAATATGAAGTCAGAGTTTTCACAGACTGTGTGACAGGGAGTACAAGACAGTGATTCCTCAGAGCTGGGAAACAAAGTAAACCAAGGATCACCCCAGATAGCTCACGAGTTTCCAGGCTAGCACAGAGAGAGAAGAAAGGCAAACACAGCCCAGGGATCTCCCTCAATTGAGGAGAGAGGCTGGTGTTCAGGGAGGCCAATGCAGCTAGAAACCACAGGGCAGCGCGCACAAGACACAGCAGCGTGCACAGAGCTCTGCAAATCAGCAGAGTCCACCTGTGTCTACAGCTGAGTCCCACCAGCACATGTGGTGTGGGAGAGAGCTGCTGAGACCAGGGAGGGGCAGGCTGGGCACTGCTGGGGCTCACCTTGGACTGGGGACAGCTCATGTGTCCCTCAATCATGGTGGAAAGACCCTATGACTCTCAGAACCCCTCAGTAGTGGGACCAAATCAGACCCATACTAAAGCCTTTCCTGAACCCACGTAAGAAAGCAGAATAGTAACCCTCCAAAGGATCAAACTGGCTCCTGGCAAATTAATCACATGTCTAGAAGTGCCCAAAAATATTTAAAGGAATGCTGCCAAATGTATAACCCAGTAATATAAAATTCATAATGTGTGGTATCCAATCTGAACCTCTCAGGTATTAAAAAGAAAGGAGGGCCAGGGATTTAGCTCAGTGGTTCTGCTTTACAAGCACAAAGTTTCAAGTTTGATCCTGGTACCAAAATAAATAAATAAATAAATAATAAAAAGAAGGGCCGAGGATTTAGCTCAGTGGGTTCGCTGCCTGCCTCATAAGTCCAAAGACCTAAGTTCAATCCCTGGTACCAAAAAGAAAACAACAACAACAAAAAAAACCTGGTTCAATAATAAAAAGAAAGAAGGAAGGAAAATATGACTATAATGAAGAAATAAGGCCACCAATAAAAACTAACCCAGAAATGACATAGATGATTTAACTGGTCAACCAGGACATTAACTATTACGTACCTATAGGTTCAGGATAGTAGTAGAAAAAATGAGTATAGGGCCAGGGATTTATCTCAGTGGTTCTGCCACCTGCCTTGCAAGCACAAGGGCCCGAGTTTCATCCCTGGTACCAAAAAAAAAAAAAAGAAAAGAAAAAAAAAAAATGACTGTAAGAAACATGTTTAATATGAAAAGACCTAGGAGGGGCTGGGGATTTTGTTCAGTGGTTCTGCTGCTTGCCTCGCAAGTGCAAGGACTGGAGTTCAATCCCCAGTACCAAAAAAATAAAAATAAAATAAAAATAAAAAGACCTAGGGATTTAGCTCAGTCGTGTTGCTGCCTGCCTCCCAAGTGCAAGGTCCTGAGTTTAATCCCCAGTACCAAAAAAAAAAAGACCTAAATAAAATTGTATCATTAAAAAAATAAATATTTTTCTAGTGCTCACTTCAGCAGCACATATACTAAGACTGGAACGATACAGAGAAGATTAGCATGGCCCTCATGCAAGGATGAGACAAAAATTCGTGAAGTGCTGCATACTTTTGCCTTCTCTTTTTCCTAATCTTCACTGGCAGGCAACCTGAGGCTCTGATAAAATAGTGAATTTAAAAAATACATTTTCTAGGGAAAAATATAATGAATGGAATTAATATATTGCACATTAAAGAAAAGAACTGAAGTTAATGAAAAATTCTGGAAATAGTGGTAATGGTTATATAATATCTTTATTTAATGTCACTGAATTGTATACCTCAAAATGAGTTAAGTGGAAAATTTTATGTCACATTCATTTTTTTCTTTTTCTTTTGTGGGCTGGGTAATGAATCCAGGGCCTTGCACATCCTAGACAAGTGTTCTGAGCTACATTCCCAGCACTTTTTTTTTTTTTAATTTTGAGACAGGTTCCTATAAGCTGTCCAGGCTGGCTTCCAATTTATGAGTTCCCTGCCTCAACCTGCTGGCTGAAAAACTGGGGCAGTTGTGATGGTGCTTGCCTAATCACAGCTACTCTGGAGCCTGAGTATAAAAAGGGTTGTGAATGCAGCTCAGTGCAAAGGTCCTAGGTTCACTCCCTAGTACCACCAAAAAAAAAAAAAAAAAAGGAAAGAAAACTTACAGTAGTGGAGGAATACTTGCCTAGCATGCACAAGGCCCTGAGTTCCACTGCAAAATCACAAAAGAAAAAATTTTGTTTTGTTACCGGGGATCAAACTTGGGACCTTGTGCTTGCGAGGCAGGCGGCAGAACCACTAAGGTAAATCTCTGGCCCAGAAAAAATGTTTTTGAGGTGCTTAATTCTATGTTTTACCAGTAAAAGAAGTCTCAAAACCAACTTTCACAGAGGGAAAACACTAAGGTTAGTCTGAGTTGTTATAGAGTCACAATACATTTTATAAATTTTAGAAGTTCCCAACTTTATTAATTTCAGTTTCAAGAGGAAATTAAGGTTAAATTGTCTACCTCTTCACCTTAGTTAACTGAGTACAATTGAAACTTGAACTGGAGGCTGGATGTAGTGGCCCATGATTATAATCCCAGAACTCTGGAAGGCTAAAGTAGGAGGACTACAAGGGCAAGCTCTGCCTATATAGCTTGGAGAGACCATGTCTCAAAATGAACAACAAAAAATGGAGCTGGGTGTGGTGCCACACACCTATAATCCCAGCACTCAGGAAGCTGAGGCAGGAGGATGATGGAAGTTCAAGGCCACCCTGGGATACATACCGTAGTGAGTTCAAGGACAGCATGAACTATACAGTGAGATCCTGTCTCAAAAAAACCAAAGTAAGGGGCAGGGATTTAGCTCAGTGGCACTGTGCTTGCCTCACAAGTGCAAGGTCCTGAGTTTGATCCCTGGTACCACAAAAAAAAAGAGAGAGAGAGAGAAATGTGAACTGGACCATGTGAAGTCCTGTAAAAGGGTCTTTCTGCCCTCTCTCCACATAAAACTGTCTTTATGCCACTTACATATGCCACTTAGTTGATACAAAGACAGAGGTGTTAGGTTGGTTCCACTGATATGTAGACTGTTAATGTATTGATTCAACAATTACCTAGAAGGCATGTATGAGCTAAAGATATAAAAAAGGAACAAATTAAAGGCAAAAGCCTATCCTTCAGCAGGAGAACAAGAATCCTCATTTATTGGTGATGGAAAGCAATCTGACAATATCTACAAAATCACAGACATCCATTTCTAGAATCCCACACATACACCTAACACCAGCAAACAGGTTACTACTCACTGCTGGTTTCCATGTAAACGATTATAAACCACCCTAGGACCAGTTAAGCAAAAGAAAGGTTGAATAAAGTACAGTAAGGTGCAGGCACCCACTGGAATACTATGTGGCTGCAGAGAATGTGGATCTATGTATAACGAGGTTACTACACCTTTCTCTTTTCTTTTCTTTTTTTTAAACAAAGTCCGCTGTTTTCAGCTGGCTCCTAACTCCTGGCCCAAGCAACCTTCCAGCACCAGGCCCCTGAGCAGGTGGACTAGAGGCACTCACCAGGGAACCCAGCAGGACTTCTTTTTACAATGAAAAACAAGATGCAAGAGTATATATGAGCTACCTTTCAGGCAAAAAAACGGCAGAGAGAATAAATATACCTATTACCGTTTGATTGGTCTTGCTTAAAATAAAAAAAAAACATCCTGGAAGTATAATCAGCAACAATAAAACACACCTAGCCGGGTGTGGTGGTACAAGCCTGTGCTACCAGTACTTGGGAGGTGCAGCAGGACTACCTCGAGTTAGAGGCCAGCCAGCCCCCGAGCTACCTACCAAGGCTCTGTCTCAAAAAAACAAAAACAAACAAAAAAACTGCACCTAATAGAGGTGGTGAGATTTTCCACGTACTTTTTTTTTTTTTTTCGTACCGAAGATCGAACTTGGGTCCTCGTGTCTGTGAGGCAGGTGGTGGAACCACCGAGCTAAATCCCCGGCTTTTTTTTTTTTTTTGTGGTACCAGGGATCGAACTCGGGTCCTCGAGCTTGCGAGGGAGGCGGCGGAAACACTGAGCTAAATCCCCGGCCCTCCCCGGTTTTTATATTGGGGGTTTTTTCCTCTCTCTCTTTTTTTTTTTTTTGGTACCAGGGTTCGAACTCAGGACCCTGCACTTGTGAGGCAGGTGCGGTGCCACTGAGCTAAATCCCGCCTTCCCCCCCCCGCCCCCCCCCGTCCTCCACTATGTACTATTTCCACCATCGTTTTACTACAAGACCCTACGGGCGTTTGCCATGACCCCCACACCTTCGCCAATGTCCCAGGGCCCACACTGGGTCCGTCCCCACTGTCCCAAGCCCATTGTTCATGGCTCACCATGACGCTTCCTGTCGCCTGCACACAGCTCCTGCCTCCTCTCAAGCACACACAGCGTGGTCAACGACCGGCCGCCACGCAGTATGCCGCGTCTTCATTGGCTCATCACCTGCGCAACTACCATTGGTTCCAACAGCTTTAGGGCGGTCCCCAGGCTAAAATCCCAATCGTTATAGGCCATTTTCCACTAGAGAAGTGATCCTTCTGATTGGTTGTCATTTTAGCGGGACATGGTGACCCAGAAGGAATTTTCCAGACTCTGTTGACTGGAAGTGTGGGGACTGAGCCTGGAAACAAGAAAAAGCCGTGCTTAGGGGCCATGGACACTTTGCTGTTGCTTGTGCCGCCTGAACGACATACGTGCTCAATCTCACTACTGAGCTTTACAGGGTGTTATGAGGGTCACTATGAAAGGACGTTTGGAACTTTCGCACATGCAACGAACAATATGCAAGGGTTCTAGGCAATCCTTTATGGTGCTGATGTTTGCATAGCCAGCTGCTAAGATTTTAAGCTCCTAGGTAACCTGACTCGTGCATGATTGTGAGGTGTGGACCACTCGATACAGTTCCAGAGGCGGGACTGACAAACAGCAGGGAACAAGTTTAATTCTGCCTTCCCGGAGACTTTGAGACTTTTTTTTTTTTTGAGACAGGGTCTCTCCGTGTAGTTGAGCCTGGTCTTGAACTCACTACATAGCCCAGGCTGGCCTTGAACACGAGGCGATCCTCCTGCCTCAGCCTCCCAACTCCTGGGATTACAGGCCTGCACCACCACACCCGGCTGAAACTTCTGAGTGGGAGCTCCTGAAGGAAGACTCAAGATGTTTCCAGGCAGCAGAGAGGGCTGGATGGAGTGGGCAGAGCAGGAGAGGAATGAGCTGGAAGGTTCTGCAAGGTACATGGACCATGGTAAAGACTGTGATACTCAGGGCCGGGGATTTAGCTCAGTGGTTTCTCTGCCTGCTGTGCAAGCACAGGGACCCAAGTTCGATCCCCGGTACCAAAAAAAAAGACTGTGATACTGGAGGGGCTCGATGGGGCTGGAGTGACTGTGGCCAGACCAGGAGTTTGGCTTTTCTTGGGGGGAAGAGGGGGATGCAGGAGACCCCATACATGGCTGTTGCAGGAAGCCAATCAGTTACCTATTATCCACACATACCTCAGTGAAAGGACAGGTAGGGTTTCCAAGGTTCCTGGAAAGGGGGCTGATGCCCTGGGTTCACTCCCCCAGACCCATAGGATCTGCCTCCCCGACGCCCACATTATTGCTGCAGACCTATGGGAGACTCTATTTTTGTCCTTACAGCATGCAAAACTCTTCCATCCTCAGGGTCCTGGCTGAGCCAGAGAATTAACAAATGAATCATCAAGGGTAAAGCACACAAGTTTGTTTAATACAAGTTTTACCTGGCATAGAAACCCTCATAAGAAATGAAGGGTTAAAGAAGAAGTTAGAACTGAGTATGGTGGCACACACCTGAAGTCCCAGCCCTTGGGTGGCTAAGATGGGAATTTGAGGCTAGCTTAGGCTACATAGTGAGTGCAAGGCCAGCTTGAACTAAACAGTGAGACCCTGTTTCAAACCACCCTCCCCCCAAAAGTAAGTGTTACAGTGAGTTACCTACACAGTAATCCCCATTTATCTATGGCTTCCTCCATGGTTGCATTCAATTGTAGTCTGAAAATGTTACATAGAAAATTCCAGAGAAGAGCAAATCTGTGTATATTGGTCATTTGGTCATGAGAATAGTTCAGTACAGTTAACTACTTAATTCTCATTGTAGAAGGTGATGTTATAGGTGGGATCCCATCTAAGTTGGGCTTCAATAGGGTGTGAAAACAAAGTATTTAATGAGAGAGATTTTATGGAAACAAAAGAAAAGCAAACTAGTGCTTAGAGCCAATATCAACCCAGTTTTGATTCCAGAGTACAGTCAATTGAGAACATTTAGATTTGAAACATTATTAGTTGGAGGTGAGGCAGGGACATTGTTGGTAAATTTCCCAGTTTGTACTTTGGATGTCTCTGATGATGTCATTGTGTGTCCTGGTAAACTGTTCAAGTGGCTTATATAGTAATGGGCATGAAGGATGTTCAAACATGACTTGTTGTGGTTATTTCTCTGAAGTTTATGTCAAGTTGTCCAGCTTTAGCTTGTTAGGAATTTAGGAAAATGAAAGTCTTACTTTTGAGGGTGTTCGTGGTACCGGCTATCAAACCCAGGGCTTGTATTGAACTACATCCTCAGTCATTTTATTTTTATGTTTTTATTTTGAGACAAGGTCTTGTTAAGTGACTAATTTGCCCAGGCTGGTCTCCACTGATCTTTCTTTCTCAGTCTCCTGAGTATCTGGGACTGTAAGAGTGCACCACTGTGCCTAGCTGGTAGTTTTAGGTTTTTGTTTTGTTTTTTACAGTGCTGTGTTCAAACCTAGGTCCCAGACACACTAGCGCTGACCTTGTATATCCCTCGCCCAGTAGTTTTCTATTTTAGTGATTCTAAGTCAAGAGGGTGGAAGAAAACTTGGAAATGTCAATTATTCATGGAATGTACAAAAGTGCAGGTGTTAGTTTATAAAGAGGAAGAAGCTTAAAGTCACTGAACATGGCACTGTTTGACACCCTCTTTTTTTGTGTGTGTGGTACCAGGGATTGAACTCAGGATCTTTTGCTTTTGAGGCAGGCCCAGTGCCACTGAGCTAAATCCCTGGTGACACCCACTTTCAATGTATTT